GTTATTTCCCCCCAAAAAAGTCTCTAAAAGGAACAACAGCCAAACTCCCCTAAAATGCAACTCACAATCAAATTTTTCACCTCCTGAGAAATCCCCAAAGTGCAAAACCCCAAAGGTACAGTGACGAGGGAGGTCACTAATTAGAACATTAGCAGGGGGGGAAAAAAACCCAAAAAACCCAAACCCACCAAACCCCAAAGCTGCTTCAGGTCGCTCTTTAATTAGATTTGTTTACAATAGCAGCAGCATCGTTCTGGGGATATTCTGGGAAGCTGCTGCCAGCAGTGATTTACCTTCCTCAGCAGGAAAGGTCAGGCAGGGTGCAGCTTTAGCACTTCCAGGGACATCTGCTGATGCATCCGGAACACAAAGGAGGAGGCAGGAAAGGCTGGAGTCACACAAACCCTCTGAAATGTTTTTGTCCAAACAATTCTCTTTTTTTTTTTTGTGGTATCCCAAGAACAATCAAGTAAACTTGGCTGGGTGTGTTGCAGTGCTTATTAAAGTGCTGTCCGAATTCTGCTTTTGTGAAATGGGGTGGGGGCGATGGCAAGCTTTGACACGACCTGAGAGCCCAGAGCTGATGGTGGGGGAGGAGGGAAGAGGTGCAGCCTCACCCCCATGGCAAGCAGGAAAAATCATCCCCATCCCTGCTTGTGGCTGAAGAATTGTGATTAATTACAGCCCAACAAGGCAGGGCTTCCAAACTGTCACTGGGAATTGTTGGCATGTGCTGGATGCCTTTCGTTCCTGCATCAAAGCTCCTGAGGAACCCGAAGCAATTAAAGTTCACAAAGCCTGTGTGAATCATGGAGGTTTTATTGGGATTTCTCCAGGCTCAGCTGACAGCAGACACACTCGTGCTGCTTTGAAGGTGATTTGGTTCCCCAGGGTAGAGGTGAGAGGTCTCTGTGAACTTCCCATCCCTGGAAATGTCCCAGGCCAGGCTGGACAGGGCTGGAGCAGCCTGGGACAGTGCAAATGTCCCTGCCAGGGCAGGGGTGGCACTGGATGGGAGTTAAAGTCCTTTCCAGCCCAAACCATTCCATATTCCATGATCACTGCAAGTCCACCAGGATCCTTCCAGCCCAAACCATTTTCCAGCATTCCATGATCACTCAAAGTCCTGCAGATGCTTCCAGGAGTCTGAAGTTTATGTGGAGAACCATGGAAAGCCAGGACACGCCAGCACTGCAGGCTCCTGCCCTGGCAGCACCCAGGGAAGGTTTTCCTTCCTCTCTCTTCCCCATGGTTTGACCCCCTCCTTAACCCCATTTGCATAACTAATTACCACACTGGGGCTGCTGCATTTAAGGTTGAACAATCCTGAAGGCCCTGGAAAGAGTTTACAAGTTCATGTATCACAAAATCCCAGGATCCCCGAGGCTGGAAAACCATTCCAAGGACATCAAATCCAGGCTGTGCCCAATCCCCACTTTGTCCCCATCCCAGAGCTCCGAGTGCCACCCCCAGGAACTCCTGGGACACCTCCAGGGATGGGGATCCAACCCTCCCTGGGCACTTCCAATCCCTGATCCCCCTTTCCATGGGGAAATTCCTGCAGTGCCCACCCTGCCCTGCCCTGCCCAGCCTGAGCTGTTCCCTCTGCTCCTGTCCCTGTT